TTGGTGTTGGTGTTGGTGTTGATGTTGGTGTTGGTGTTGTTGTCGTCGTGGTTGTGCTTGTGCTTGTGCTTGTGGTTGTTATTGTTGTTGGTGTTGGTGTTGGTGTTGGTGGTGGTGGTGGTGGTGGTGGTGGTGGTGGCGGCGGCGGTGGTGGTGGTGGTGGTGGTGTTCTCGTCGTCGTCGTCGTTGTTGTTTTTGTTGTTCCTGTTATTATTGCTGTTGCTGTTGCTGCTGTCGTTGTTGCTGTTGCTGTTGCTGAAGGTAGTTGCATCACGAGTCCATCCCTGTATGGATGACGTCACATCAGTAGCAGTGGCCTTCGTGACAGAACTAGCGTGATCAACAGTATTTCTACACTCCCGTGCAGTAGGCGCAAACCACAAGCCTGGGCCTCCCTGACTGAGGAAGCTGGTTCGAAACAAAGGGTTTTCAAGCGTGCTGCTGTTTGCCTTCCTCGCCCAGTTCTTCAGCACCGTCACCACAACGGCAGGATCGAATTTCCCAGCCGTCATCAGTGTGCGGGGAAGTAGAGGGTGCAGGGTGTGTTTAGGGTTCAGGAGCGGGGTGCGCAGGACCCATGGTGCGAAGCCAATGGGCCGGCGTGAAGGTCTTGCAGCAACAGCTGTTTGCCATGGGCAGCATGCTGGTTATGATTGTAGCAACCTGGGTCTACAAGGTGTGTCTAGGTCCGCCTGGCACAAGTTTGGGGTTTTGATTGTTGCGAAACCACAGCAGAACGACAAGCCCGATGTAGGGATCCATCCGTCCCCTCTACTCGCAAAGCGTTTTGAGGTACCTCCTCCAGACGTGTTGGCGGAAGGCGATCTTCATTGCTATCGTTACGGTGACAATCATAGACTCCATCCCGACCTTCCTCACAATCTTCGGCGTTGTTCGTGACCAGTACTTTTTCCTTGGGGAGGAGATTGCCACTGCTGTGCCCACCACGGCACTTGCTTTGATTTACAGCCTGATGGTTATCGAGCTCGCTGAGCCTGGGCAGGAAGGTCTTTGTTACGGCCTGCTCGGAACGGTCCAGCATGCCAGCCTTCCCATTGCCACGGCCCTGAGCAACCAAATTTTCGGTCTCTTCAAGCCCTCTTTGTCCTTGCTGGAGAACTATGTCACCGACACCCCAGCCTTCCGATCAACGGTAGCTTGGTCCTACGTGCTGACCTATGCTGCATCCTTGCTCGGCATGTGCGCACTCCCTTTGGTACCACGGCAGAAAGCAGATGTCCAGAGGCGCAAGAGAGAACCTCGGCTCCGGACCCCGTAGTTCTTTCTAGGTGTCTACAGCTCTATAGTGTCGGGGAAAAGTTCCGTGAAGTATCTCCTTAGGGCTTCTGCTGCAGACTTGGCACTCAGGAGTGGAGTGCCAGCTACATCATGGCCATCTTGGTCTTGGGCATTCCTGCTCTTTGCTTGCCTTACGGTGTTGTCGTCTTGCTCCTCAGCAGTCAGCCACAAACGGCATGCTTGCGCTGGGTGGGCGGCCAGGGCTGCGACCACCTCAACTGATACTTACCTATTCTATTTCGGGGTGTTCCTTATTATAAAGATAGTGTAGAGGGCCTCAAAACCCTATTCTAATTATTAAGGCCCCTATTTGGCAGCATTTGAGGGAGAGGACGAGCAACTGTTTAACTAAGAGCCACCGAGTTCCCTGAAAGAGTCTTTTCGGCCGACTCTTCTACTTTTGCTGGCGGAGGCCAGGATGCGATTAGCAGCAACCGCAGGGTCCGACGGGGAGAGGTCGGGACATCCGGGGCCTTGCAGCTGCTAGTCCGCATGCAGTGACAGTGAAGCCCAAAAAGGTGAAACATAGACTGAAGATGACTAGTGCTCGGATTCCGTATAAGCTACCTTAAGAGCATGAGGATAGCAACGCAACGACTTTCTGGCTTCTACTGTACATTCTCCGAAGCAGCTGAGACCAAGTGCAGGTAGTCGTATTTGGAACTGTGCAGTCGCTGCTGTTTAGTCCGGCAAGCCCAGGGGCATGTGGGCAGCACTGGCAGCACGCCACGCCAGGGTTTAGGGTTTAGGGCTGCCAAGAGGTCTAACCACTATGGGCCCTTGTTTCTGCAACGGATTCTTCGCAAACTTGTTCCATGCTGCACTGTAAGCGCTGGTGTGCGCATGGCCCCCTTCTAAGCCGGTACACGTCTTCTGGCTGCAGACTGGAGCATTCTGGCTTTGTTCCCCAAGGAAGGAACGCTGGGCCTGAATGCTTAGTGCTGTTTTGCCTTCCATGGCTCGGGCTTTGATTCTCCACAGCACCTGAAGACACAAGGTCGGGTGCCAACTATCCTCTTCTCTCTGCAGAGCCCAGGGTGTTCTCCGTGTCCTCCTACCCTTTGTCTGAGGTATCAGATACAAGTTTCTCCAGGTTGCCACCTCCACGTACTTGCCCGGAGATCACCTCTCTTTTGAGCATGCCATGGCAGCCAGCCGTGGGTCGGAAGTGCTCCTCCATCTCTGAAACTCGTCCGACCTTATCGGTGGCTCCGGTCTTGATGTCGTCATGTTTAGCAAGACCGGTGGTCAGGCTGCGAACGCTCACCCCCTTTGGGCGAGAGGCTCCATAGATGAGGGATTCGCAGACATGTCAAAAAAACCGCAGTTCATTTGGATGAACTCCTTTATTCCCGCCTTGCTCTTGAGTGTCCATGCTGGAGGCTAGGACGCGATTGGCAGGCACAAAAGTCTACCGGCCTCCCATTCCGGAGGCCCAGACCCCGAAGCTGCCTCTCAGCATTCAGCTTCCAAAGAAGCTTAGATAGGTAGAAGGACGCCACTCCATGGAATTCAGATGCAGGCCTTAAAGGCTAAGGAGATGCCTCGCGCGGCCGCACAGCTATAGTCATGAAGGTCTGCATTTGCGCTCTCTCATAAGACGACGCCACGGGCAGTTTTCCAGACACAGCCTACAAGGCCAGTGTGATCGCGCAGCGGCCCCTTAACTGTTCATAAGATGTTTCTTTGTCGTGTCACTCTGTGGCATGGAAGAGAAGCATTGCCGGCAGCTTGCTGCCCTTTGCACGAGACTTTTTGCAGACTGTTATCTGTGTACAGCCCAGGTCTTCCCTATAGCCCTTGAAGACACAGGGTCCTGTGCTGAACTTTACAAGAACATGTTTGGCACGATTGTCTAGCCCTGTACAGAGAGGTGCATTTCGCGTCGGCACCTTGAAGCTCCCATCTTGCAACTTCTACGACCTTGCATACTCGCTCTTGCAGTGCAATCAACCTTTCGCAAATGCGCAGATGCGGAAGGCACATGTGCCAGTGGCAACTAGCCCAGACTCCGACGAAACGACCTGCTAATTGAGAAACAGACGAGGAGGTCATGCTCATGAATGCAGCCGACATAGCTGCCACGAGACGGTATGAATTTCTCAGAGCCATGAACCTCGTCTAACATCGTCTAACAAGTCCGACTGAGCGACCGCAAGAGACTGTCATACTTGTCAGGTATCTGCTAGAACTTAAATAATTCTCTGATGTTGTTGAGTTGGCCGGCTGTTAGGCTCCAGCCATGGGAGTTCTGAAGATGGAGTTCTATCGGTGTCACAAGACCGCCCAGGAAGAGTATCTACCACCAGCAGTAGCAGTAGCAGATGTGATAGAAGTCGCAAGAGCCCGTTTTGAGGGCGTCGTTGGCATTCGTTGGCTGGACATGGGAGTGCGATCGAGCTGCTGCGCGGAAGAACACCTGGCGGAGGGCCCAAAGGACATGTTGATTTCTAAGTCTCTTCGTACGTGTTGGGCATTGAAAAATAAAGCCGGTTTAGGCTGAATGATCAACAGTAAGTCTGATCTTGCATATTAACATTGTCGGTCCTGTTGTCAAATTAACTCATGTGTCAGTTGTTATTCCTCGCTGTCCACGTTTACTTGTGACGATTGTTCTTGAATCTTAGGTACTTGTATGTAGCATTGCTTTCCGTAGGACTTACGGGGGTGACGTACGGTTTTCCCTGTAGTGGCTCGCTTCCTGCAGTCCGCCGAGCATGTGCATGTCTCTACCCGGCGGAGGTCAGAGAAGGAGTAAAACTGCAAGTAAGGGTTATTCCTTCCTCTTGTTTTTTCACAGCCCTTTCACTCAGCTCCTTCAACCAGTACACTGTAGTCTGCTGTATTGTCGCTGCACTGAAAGATGCTGTTCGCGCTGCAAGACTACCCTTCATCAGAAGCCGAAATTCAGGAGGCGCCGGAGGTCGTGAGCAGCTACACAGAGAAGGCCGATTCCCCTGCACCACCGGCCCCCTGGCCGAAAGACTTCAGACCTCTCGGCGCAAATCAGTGCCTTATGTGTACCCGTGAACGAGTGATGCATACATGCAATCTGCAATGCTCGCGCATCAACAACAAGACTATCTCGCTGCAGGAAGCAGAGCTGAGGGAGTTGCGGGCTGCGGTCACGCAGGATCCATGTGGCTCGAGAGTCCCCAGCAGCTTGGCACAATGTTCTTGAAGTCCTGCGCGGTATAGGGGTGGCAGTGGCTTTGCGTGGGCTTCTTGCATGAGCCGATGTCTTTCGATGTCAGTGAGCCATGACGAGGCAAGTGGAGCCGATTGCAGCACATGCGACACCTTGAGGCGCTCCTCCATGTGGATGCTAGACTGCTAGGCTCTTCGGCTCGGGGCAAGGCGGACAAGGTCGGCTTCAGGCGCTGAGGCTTGAGATTCTGGTAGTTAGCCGGAGTCGGAAGGCTGAATCATGATGGGATTAGGGTTTAGGGGTTTAGGGTTTAGGGGTTTAGAGTTTAGGGTTTAGGGTAAATGGTGAGCAGCCAGAGGGATGCTGAGACATTGTGAGAAGCATCGGAGCCACAACCAGCAGGTGGATGCAGAGATTGTGCGTGGCATTCCGCTGCAGGAGCGAAGCTTGGAGTCTGATGTGGGGAATTGGGAACAGTGTTGGGATAAAGTTCGGGTGGTTCAGACAAGACCCATAATATTCGGCATAAAGATTTAGCTTCGGTTCTGCAGATGCTCAAGGTGGACGTGGCCATGGAGCAGGGCCTTTCACAAGGCCTCTAAGAGCGGTTGAAGCCAGAAAGCTACAAACGGATGTTTACCCGACAGATGCTTCCGCACTGCAGTGATCCCCACCTTTCAGCAATCCCCGATCCCCCCTAAACACCTGTCATGCAGTTCTGCAGTGTTTCGATGGTATCTACTGCTACTGCTCCTCTTACACTACAGCAGGAGTAGGAGTAGTAGTAGCAGCGGCAGCAGTTGCAGTAGTTGCAGTAGCAGTAGCGGGAAGAGGGAAGAGTAGTAGTAGGCGCAGGGTTGGTTGGTGAGGCCAGTGTCTTCATCACTTGAGTGGGTTACTTCTCGAGTTTTGTGCTGTTTTTGCTCGTTCCAGGCAGGTAGCCTTTTTCTGTTTTGTCTGTGCTGCGATTCGAAGACATGCTGAAGGCTGTTATCTCTCGAGGTGTGGCCTGGTTTTGATCGATGTGGGGCAAATCCACATTTTTGGTGGATACTGCTTATCTGCGTTTTGGAGCCCCCCCACCTGCCCCAAGCCCCCCCAAGCCAAGCCAAGCCAAGCATGTTAAATCAGAACTCGCTATCACCGAAGGCCCTCCTAAAAACCCTTGTCTAACAGCAAAGCCTGTCTAACCGCAAAGTTTGTGTAAGAGCAAAGCCAAGGCCCGAACATTAAGTGGAAATAACACGTCCATAGAAAACATGCAGTTCCAAACCACGTGGTCCTTGACCAAATCCATGCAAAACATGCTAAGACTCGAGAAATAGCAGCGTCCAAGTCGAAAGCCGTAGAAAATGGAAGGCCCCAAAACGCAGACAAACAGTATCCACCGAAAACGTCAACTTGCCCCACATCGATCAAAACCAGGCCAAAAGTCGAGTAATAACAGCGTCCAGCATGTCTTCAAATCGTAACACAGACGAACCACAGGAAAGGCGACCCCCCCCCCTGGAACGAGTAACAACAGTTTAAAACGCGAGAGCTTAACGCACTCAGAAGAAGAAAATGATGACATCACCTACCAACCCTGTACGTAGTAGTAGTAGTAGTAGTAGTAGTAGTAGTAGTAGTAGTAGTAGTATTTGTAGTAGTTCTAGCAGCCGTAGCAGCATCCCTTGCCGTAGCAGTAGCAGCAGTAGCAGCAGGCACATCTGTAGCAGTAGCAGTACCAGCTGCTGCAGCAGCAATAGCATGACAGTACTAGCCAGAGAAACGCTGATCGGGAAGGCAATTTCCCAGTCATTAGTGAAGGCATCCCTCCGTGCCCTTGGCAAGCTCTGGCGGCGCTCGCCTGTGGACCTTCCGGAAGAGGCACACTGTCGGTTCAGGGTGCAGCACTTCTTCAATGCCTAACTACGAAGAGTTCCATTTGCAATTGATCAGGCCCGCCGAGGCCTCTACGACCATGCGGCTCCTGTGGAGGGCTTCGATGTCTTCCTGTCCCACACCTGGATGAGCCCCGGGAGGCCGGGTGCCCATGGAATGGGGTTCGTCTGTTAGTGTATGCATTGGTGTTCATGGGCCAAAGAGTCTGAGGCGCCTGTACGAGCCAGGTACAAAGTCCTCAGCCTGCTTTTCCAAGCAGGTTGGAAGCAGGCGTTCCTTGTCCAAAGCCTCTTCGTGGTGGCTGGAATTGTTCTATGTCTTGTGCGCTGGCTCCCATTGCCATTTACCCTCCCAGCCGAGTTTGCTGAGTATTCGCATCTCATTTGCCCATTCTTCCCTTGGTGCCTCGTCATGGGTTTCGTGGGAAGCTTTATCGGGCTCGTGCTGACGCCCTATCTTCCGGCCCTTTGTGGCCAGCATCCTGTTTGCTTCCTGGACGTGGTCAGCATCCACCAAGCAGACCAGGAGTTGATGGAGCGAGGGATCTACGGCTTAGGAGGATTTTTGCGCGTTTCCAAAGAGCTCCGGGTCCTTTGGTCCGCACCCTACCTCTCGAGGCTGGGGACATTCACATAGGGGAAATCGGGCGCTTTGTTGTCATTACAATCATTCGACTACAAGTTATCCCAAACCCTAGTCGAATCTTTATGGCGTCTATATTAGTCTACGTGTTCGAGGCTGTGGTGCGTTTTCGAATTGGCGGCCTACCGCATGGCAAATCCCAGCGGGCGCATCGTTGTGTCTCCGATCTTTGTGGAAGTGGGTGCCCTCGTAACAATCCTCTTCACATACTTTGTGGCTGCCCTCTTTTCGCTTGTCTTTGTACTCAATTGGCAAGAAGTCGGGCAGGTGATGACCTATGTCGTTGCGCATCTTGTCACTGGAACAGAGGTGCTTCAATGCAGTAGAGCTAGTAGTCACTTAGTAATCACTAGCAAACGGTGAGCAGTGGTGGATGATTCCGTTCGTTGTCGTGAAAAAATTCCCACCAAATCCCCAGCCTGAGGCTTGTTCCGCTCCTGCTGTTCTTACACCTCATGCGTCGGAACCTGATGTCGAAGCACAGGTTACTGTCAGAGCTGCGCTTGTTCGACCTCGAGAAGGCATATTGTCGTACGGACTTTGATCGAGAATTTATCCACAGGGCCATTACCGAGTGGTACGGGAGCAAGGAGGCCTTTACACAATACGTGCGCGGGCCGCTGCGAGAAGAGCTGATGCGATGCAACAGATCCGCTTTCCCCTTACCCTACCTTCTCATGGTGAGTGCTGTACCCTTCAGTGCCTCACTGGACAGCCTGGTGTCCTTGTCGCTCGGTGGCATGAAATGGCAGGGAGTATTGGCCGAGTTTGTGGGAAACAGCATCGGCTTTCATGTGGGCTTCTTCTTGGCGCTTTTGAACTTTGTTGTTTATCTTTGTGACCGGTTTGCGGCTCCAATATGCGGCGGCAAGCTCCTGGACTATTTGCAATCGTTCATGCTTTTCGTTGTGTTCTTCGGCCTGTACTACCTTGGACAAGTCGTGAATCGCCGAGCATATACGACCAGCCTGTTGTGGGCGGTGGTCTGGGCCAGCGCTGCATTGCTGTCGGCTTGTCTTTCTCTTTGCCTCTTCGGACAGCGCAATGGCCGAGTGGGCAAGACTGCTGCAACTGCTGACCGCGCTGAGTCATGAAGGTCATGTTCCTTTTCGATGGTCGTTCCGCGCTTGTTGCTGCTTCTCCGCCGCAGGGATGCATCCACAGAACCAGGGACGAAGGCATGAAATAGAAAAGCAGAATTCAACTCCAGTCGTGGCCCCAATGCTTGAGTTCCAAAGACTGGAATTCACGCCTAACGGAACATCCGCTTCCCAGATCTTCGCGAGATGGAATGGGCTCGTTCAAGACTAAAGCTGAACTTCTGGGAGCTATAATTTCCAAGGGTACGCACTTGACGGGTTGGGAAAATCTGTTGCCTGATGAGTGGGTGATGTATTGTGTGCCATCGCATCTATTGAAGTGAGCGAATCCTTATTCGCACAAGGCACGAATACATAGAGGGAAGAATAGATGAAATAATATCTTCTCATCAATATTAAATATGAAGATTCTATTTCATAATTTATCCAATTTTATATATCTTATTCTATATCATCCATTAGAAGATTTAGAAAAATAAGGAGAGATTCAATTCTAAGATTTTTCCATAATATTTTCAGAAATTTTAAAATAAATTCGGACTTATTTAGATAAGAGACTATTATTGAATCTTTCATTATATATTCAATATAATCTGAAGATGATATAAAGAGAATTCATATTTTCGAAAATAGATTTTAAAGAATCTTGAGATATTATAAGAAATATTATAATAATTCGAATATGAAATAGAATATATGGAATAAATATGAAAATATATTTTAGATAGAAAATTTGATTCATATGAAAAGATAATAGAGGTAGATTAATAAATAAAAAATGAATAATTTAATATTATTATTTCAATAAGGGTGGATTTTAAACTCCATTTGCGCTTAAATTTGATAGAAAATTTGAGATATTAGTTGGAGTAATATAGACCCTTCGAAGGGTCGATTTAGACTTCTTCCCCTAACATATAATATTATTTATGTGGAGGCTAGGAAAGGGGGGGAAAATTAATATATATATCTCGATTTCTATATGCTCTATATGTCATTAGACCTAAGAAATAAAGGATATACTTCCTAAATATTTATTCTCTTTGTAAAATGATATTTGTCCCTATAATCTAGGCCGTCAAATTTAGAAACACTTAATTTATAAATTAAGAATCATCTAGAAATTTCAAATCTAGCATTTCTGAATCTAGAAATCCGAAAGCTAGAAATATCTAGAAATTATAAATTCAGGAATTCTAAAATCTAGAATTCGTAAACCGAGAAATCCTAAATCTTGAATCCAGAAATCCGAACCCAGGAATCCTAAAAAGAAATATCCAGAAAATCCAACCCCAGAAACCTTGAACCTAGAAATCCTACAATCCTTAAATCCAGAAACCCTGAATCGAAATTTTTTATATCTAGAAATATAGACGCCCCAATCCTGGAACCCAGAAATCCCAAGTCCAGAAATTCTAAACCCCTAATATTGAAATATCTAGAAAGTGGCCTCGACTGCCTGGCCAGGGCCATCGACCAGGCCGAGGGTTTCGGCCTGGGGCCTTTGTTCGGGATGGGCAACGGCCCAGGCCTCCCAAGACAGCCCCGGCCTTCCGCTCCGAAGACTCCGTATCTGAACCGAAACACTAGACCCAGAAGCCTTGAAACCAGAACCGTTCAATCCAGAAACTCCGAATGCTCCCCGAATGCTTGAAGCCAGAAGCCTCAAATCAGAAATCTGAATCCAGAAATATAGAAATCTCAAATTCATAATCCCCTATATCCTAGATCAAAATAAAAAAATGAATTTTCTAGCAAAACCTGCACCTCCTAATCCCTATACTTTCCAATTCCAAAAACGTCAGTCCGAGACCGAATCGCATCCGCGAAGCTGCGCTCGTCATTTAGCGGAGAGGGATAATTATTATATTTAGACCTTGATTCGAAGAAAGATCCTGTGGACCTCGGGGGAAGCAACGAAATTTCTAGCGATCCGCTCCCCCGACCCTCTTTGGAAGGGAATGGATCGCGATTCTTTCCCGGCAAGTTGTAATGCGTCGCCATAGTAGAAGGGCGAATGGGGGGAGAACGGGCTATTATTGCTACTGCTACGCCTCCGGCTGCGGCTACGCGAGCTGCACGGCTACTGCTACGGCTGCGGCTACTACTACTAACTGCTGCTGCTATGTCATAAGCCTTAATCTTTGAATATAGATTATAATTCCCAGAAATCGAGAAATCGCAAACCTTTAGACCCAGAAATCCGAAACTCAGAAGCGGAAAAAAATTGAAATTCCAGAAACGTCCAAAAACTCCAAAAATGGAAGCCCTGAATCCAAAACCTCTGAATCCAAAATCCCTGAACCCAGAAACCCTAAACCTTGGGGCCGGTGCGAAGCATCTAACAACAGTATACCTCCTTTACCAAAGAAATGCTATAATATATCAGATAGATTTGGCGATTAAATTTTGCCCGAAGAGATTTTCCATATATATTTCGTATCGATATCAAGATTTTTCTTCGTTATTCTTATTGGCAAGACAGAGATTTTCCATAATTTTCGGGCTTGAATAGAATCGCATTTTTCCTATGTAGTGGGTTGAAAAGAAGCATTTTTCTCACAATTTTTAGGCTGAAGAGAAATATTTTTTCCGCATATTCTAGGCTGGAAAAGAAATATTTTGATTTTATATTTTTGAAATTCAAAAAAAATATTATAGGCAATAATATCGGATTGAAATAGGATATTTGATAGTAAATATATTAAATATATATTTATATAATTTTCTTTTTCGAATTAGATAGAATTTAAAATAAAGAAGGCATTCTGGTAGATGCGATTATGATTAAATATCGTTATAAATGAGCAATTCTATGGATAATATCGTATAAGGAATATCGGTATATATAGATATATCTATGAATATGATCTGGAAATATAGAATGCATATGCATATTGTGGAAAAACGACTGTGAATATGGATAATTTTGCAGAAAAAGAAACTTTGGCTATGGATAATTTGCGGCAAAATAAATAGGGTTGTCTAGATTTTTCTTGAAATAGATATCATGCGAGCAATATATTTATCTCGGCAGAAATTGAGAATATTTTTTTGAAAGAAATATGGCAAAATGATTTATTTGTAGAGCGTAATTATTTTCCATAATAATTTCCGTAATATTTCTATAATATCGGCGGATTTTCTATAATAATATCCACAGCACCCGGTCGGATTTTTCATAAAAAATTCCGCAAATTTCCCATGATACCAGTCGGATTTTCTTCAAAGAATTCCGCATCTTTTCCTCAATTCCAGAAATTTCGGGCCCAAAATTTATGGAAAAATACGATTTTTTCAACCCCAAATTTTGGAAAAATAGATTTTTTTCATTTCCAAATTTGTGGAAATAAATATGCTTTTATAAGCCTAAAATTTGCGATAAAAAAAACAGATATCTCTGTGTAGTGCTCTTGTGTTTCGGCTTTTTGGGTTCAAGGTTGAGGGATATTGGGTTTTGGAATTTCTGAATTTAGCGTTTCTGAATATCTCTAGATTTCGGATTCTGGTTTCAAGGATTTAGATTGGATCCGATATTTATTATCTAGCCTTTATGGCTATTGGATTATATAAATCTTATATAATTATTCATATTTCTTGCCAATAAAAAAATATTTTATTTCAAAATTTATTTCAATAAAAAATAATTTTTCTACAAGTTTTGGAGTGACGAAAAATATATTTTCCGTATAATTCCGATTATGAAAGTAGTGGTTTTGCACAAACTTCGGGTTGAAAAGAAGCAGATTTTGCACAAATTTTAGGCTCAAGGCCCAGAAACCTTGAATCATGCAATGATTTGAGATATTCTATTTCTTTATAGATCTATAATATTCTACTATTTTATATCATTTTTATTTAGAAGGCGAGTTAGAAATATATTTAAAAAAATTTCCGATATAAGAAATTCATATAATATATGACAGATCCTCCAGCACGAATAGATATTGTCAAGAAAAGATTTTTATTTATTATCCCCCATCTCCTAGATTACCAATCTAAATAATTAATTAAATATACGGCTTGAGAAATTAGAAATTCCCAAATTTCAATATATAAAGGCTAGAAATCTACTAGAGAATCGGAAGAATACCGAAAGACCATTCAATTATAATTCTTCCCCGTATCCAATATCCCCCTCCCCCCCGAGCTATCCAATTACAAATATAAATATAGTGTAATAATTCTCGAAATTACTTATCTATAAAAATTAATAATAATATAACTATCATTCCAATAATTGCTCTCTTATTATTTACGACGATATCATTAATTAAGAAGATCCAGATTACCTTCTCAATCTAATTTCTTAGAATATAATATAAGGCATACCTATTAATTCGAACGAGAGGCAATTTAGAAATTAAATAATCGGTTTTATTTATCGACGAAAATATTATTTTTTAATTAAAAAAAATTATATATTTTAGATAAATAATATCTATACGCCCATAATTAATTATTAATTATCTATATATTCCTAATATCCGTCAAATCTTGGCCTAAATAGCGGGGCATATATTCCGATTTTAAATCCTAATTTAAAGGATCTATTGGGGTCCCTTTATTCAGAATTCAATCCCTGTTTGGGGCAGTATTAGGATATATTATAGAGGGGGGTCTTCTCGATCCTTCTTGCCGTGTTTGTTTCGGGAGGGCGCCACGAATCGCCCACTGCTTCCGCCGGGTGCGACACCAAAAAAAATTCGTCGCGAATATTTTTCTTTGATACCGGGGCCAATCGAATTCTCCGTCTGTCTTATATCTGCGAATAAAAACCCGATAAAACATAACAGATTCTCAACATGTGATGGTCGGGAAATGGCTCCGATTCTATTGCAAACCCTAATCTCTCATAAACCCTTCCTCCACGGAACCCCAACCCTTCCTCAAAGGCGTCTCAACTCTGTCGCCCTGCTGTTTTCAAGTTATCGAGTCAAGGTCTGTCAGTTCGTTCGAAGGTTGGCGCCCTGTCGTGCAAGAGGTGCTGAAGC